CATGATGCTAGGATACTCACACAGTTCGAACGATCAATGCCCAATGAAGGTCCCCATCACCATCCGCTGACCATATCCCTGCCCAGATGGTTTGCTCCACCTCGGTGCACTCCCAAATAGGTTCACATCGACCGTCAGCGCTTGAGGCATGATTTCAAGCACCAGAACGAGAACTGGCAACTTTTTGAACACAAGATGCTCACCCTGTTTGAACAGGTGACCGCTCGGTCTGTGTCCAACACTCTTGACACATGCATGTCCGTTGAACAACAGGTTCGAGACCTCTGTGTCCAACATTTTGCCACACAACATGTTTTCCGATCGCTTTGTCCTCAGGTACGATCCATGAGCGCTCAGATGTGGTTTGCTCGTCGTCAACTGGTGAGACCTCAGCCATGCACCCTACATACCCTGTTCACCAGTTGGAAACATGCCACACAGTTTGAGAAACTGCATAAGCTCATTCGTAAACAAAGTCGCATGAATCGTAAGAATAGACTTGAAACCTTCCTTGAGGAAAGTGTGCCGCTAGTCCTTCGAAACCAGACGCATGAATGGTATAAACGAGTACGTACACTGTGTCCCAAGCAACAGTTTCGTCGCATCCAGATGTTCGATCAACATGGAGCTCCAATGTCACAAGACCAAGAACTTGACCGATTGGTAGATTACTTCAAGACATTGTTCACTGATGTTCACCCTCCACTTCCTCATCCACCTTCACCTCAGACTCTGCCATTCACTGAGGACGATGTGCAGCATGAACTTGAAAGACTACCAATCACCAAAGCATTGGCCCCAGATGGATTCCCAGCCCTGATTTGGAAGCATTTCGCACCGCAGCTGACCCCCATCATCTATGAATGCATTCGTCAGACCTGGACCACTGATCCATGCATTCCGCCCACTAGATGGTCGACAGGATGGTTGCATCTCATTCCCAAACCTAATAAGACCCCCAAGAAGCCTGAAGCACTAAGACCCATTTGTCTTCAGCATCCTGTGAACAAGGTCATGTCAGGCATCCATTGTCGGTTGATACAGCACCATACCTATCCTGTTCTAAGAACCATGCCTTTGTACGCGTACATGGCACACCGGGGAACTAAGGATTGTCTGCTGACAATTTCCCATCACTGCCGAACAGTGAGAGATTTGCGCAGAGCTCACGGCAAAGACCAAGCTAAGCAGGGCCTGTGGGGAGGCATGCAGATTTCGTTAGACATGGAAAAGGCCTTTGACACAATAAGTAGGTCTCCAGAGCACTCCATGCATTCGACATGTCCACCGACCTGCAGAATCTTGTGCATTCGTGGCTGGCCCCGCATAGGTATTGCATTTCGCACAAGGAGTTGGTTGGCATGTTCCAGGCTTCAGGAGGCATTAAGCAGGGATCCAAAGATGCCCCCTTGTTCTGGACCATAAGCATGTATCTCATACTTCAAGACCTTTTGGCCCAGTATGATCATGCCTGGATCGTCAATCACATCCTCATCTATGCAGATGACATCCACCTCAGATGGATCATCACCTCGCCGAGTGAAGGCCCCGCCGCATTGCATGACATGTCCTTCCTGATCAGGGTGTTTAGTGCTTATGGCATCAACAGAAGAGCGTGGCTCTCACTCGACTGGTTGGCCGAGCGCTGAACCCGTTTCTCCGCCGTTGGACCAGCAGACCTACAACAGGTCCTGTGCTGCACCTGCCGGATGCAAATCTGACGATTCCTCTCGTGAGCAAAACCTCATACCTAGGTACCATTGTGAGTTACAGGGCATGGGAAGCAGACACGGTCAGACGTCGGATCGCTGCCGCTCAAACATGCTTTCGAATTCTCCGCAGGTGGCTTCTTGATGGGCATCATGACATCAAGATCAGAATCCGGTTGTACAATCAATGTGTTCTTCCGACTGTTCTGTACGGTGTATTCGAGATGGGAGTAACCTCACAAGGAAGTCAAGCCATCATTGGCATGATCAATAATCATCACCGATCAATTGCTCATGCACCAGTCCATCTCACAAGAATTCCCACCATGGAATTCTTCACCTCATTAGGACTTCATCCTCCATGGATCACACTACAGCAGCATTTTCAACGACTGACGAAAGCCTTGAACCACTGACGGGATTTTCTCCGCAGTTCGGCCATGTCTGCATCAGTTGAAGATGTGTGTGTCACGATCCCAGAGTACCCTGATGCGCACATCACTCCCCAACACCTGGACTCCTTGCACTCGCCTCAGGAACCTGCACTTCGATGCCCTGAATGTGCTCGAGTCTTCACCCAGGCCAGTTCGTACAAACGACATCTCAGAGAATACCACCAAAGCCCTTGTCTTCCGGATGATCTCTTTCAACCCTTGAGAGATGCTTTAGATGGCCATTCAACATGCAGACATTGTTTGAAAGCGTTCAGACTTCTATAGATTGAGGGATCACATCAACAAAAGAGTTTGCTTGCTGTTTGGCCCGACCAAGGACACGATCGTGCCAATCTCTAATCGTCCAGACCTCCGCATGCGTCTCAGATACAAGAGTATCCCTGGTTTGATCCTCAACAAAGCACTCATGAGTGAGCTAGCCAATCACTGTGCATACTGCCACTCGGCCATAGCCGCCAGATCGATTCGACGACATTACACAGATGCCCATCCACAGCTTTTGCAATATGAGCCTCTTCACCGAGCACAGGTGTACGGATTGGCTCAACTCGGATCCGGCAAAGGTCAGTGCATGCTGTGCGAACAGACCTGCAACAACGTCCAACGCCATCAGTGTGGGGTGTTATTTCAACTCAGTGTTTTGCTAGGCCAGACATATGATGTGTCTCACTTCCCAGTCATGCCCATCATGCTTCGTGCCCTGCCGGCTGACCTGCCAGATGAGGATCGACCGTCGTCCCGACCGGCTATGTCCACGGAGCCTCAGGACGAGAGACCGAGTGAGATACCTAGTGCAGTCCACAAGCCTTCAGCCCAAAGCTCTAAGCCTGAGCCCAGCGGTCTTTCCAGTTTGCACAAGTGTACTCATTGTCACATGGCATTTTTGTCGGCCACCGGTCTACACCAGCACATGCAAGAATGTCACGATCCCACTGTGCTTGACCCGGATCATGCACCACCGGCCCAGGTACACAAGAAATGGAAGACTTCAAGAACGATCCAACAGATGCTTGGACTTCCGTCCTCAGGACCGATCCCTGAGGCACCCAGACAGTTTGAGTGCCCCTTGTGCCTTGAAACTGTTGGACGAAAGGCCCTGATTGGACACTTGCGTCGAGCACACCAAGCCACACACATCAGAGCTTTTCCATTTGTTCCTGATCAAGATATGCTTCCGGGTAGTCTGACCTGTCGTCATTGCTATAGCACCTTCACCATGGAGCAAGCTTTGATCACGCACTTCAAAAGAGGCTCCTGTCCGGTCTTGACGTGTCAATGGGCCAAAGCTCAACATTTCGGCACCATGACCATGTCCGTGCAAGTTCCTATGAAGCCAGGGGTTGATCACACTCTTCCTGCCCTACTGCACAGGTACTTTGACCTCAGTCAGGCAGGCCGTGAGTTTGATCCAGAGCTCTGTCCGACCCTGGACCTTGTGACCTGGTTTCGATACACGACCGATTGGCTGTCGCATTTTCCTGAGATGCCTCACACCAGCTTTGTGACTGATCAGGCTTTTGCCATGGTTCGAGCTCTTGGTCATCATCCACCCATTGCATGGGCCTGGACCTTGGACACAGATTGCATTCCAAAACAGCAGTGGCATGAGGCTCCAATTCATGACCACACGTTTTGACCAACTTGCTTCCATCCAACATGCGCTTGGCCACATAGCACGGATCCTGGCCCAAAACGAATCTCGCCAGCTTGACACGTTCGTGCACGATGGACCTGCACCAGACGGAAGACGATCAATCCTTCCAGGACTTGTTGACTGCCTGCCAAGAAGGCTTCAAGCGGCCACGGCGCAAGACATCATCCACCGGTCCCCACAAGAATGGCCGAGAGCAGCGAAAAAGGAACTCGACCTCATCTACGAGTACCTCCGACAGCAGAGATGGGGACTTGATTCACATGCTTGGACGTCTGGTGCTCCGCCAGGAGGACACCTTGAACCAACTTGGATTGGATCGAAGCCTGATGCTCTTCCTCCAATGTGGCAAAGGGTCTCTGATGCCGTACCTGCTCGAGCAAGGCAAGAAGAGGACTTTGCACCCCTGCCTACCCAGGCTGAGACTGGCCTGGCATGCCCTGTCAGCTGGGGGCATCTTGACGGAAGACCTCAAGTGGCAATACCTGTCATGGAACCCGGAGCCAATCAGAAGCAGCCAATGACGTCGGAAGATGTCTGTCAGACCCTACGCAGGATCCATCAGCTGGGAGAGAACCCCAACCTGCTGAAGTTCGCGGCCCTTCGACCTTTGAACCAAGACAGTCTGCCACAAGACGCGGCGATCGCCATCCCTTGGCGATTGGATGTGAGTCTCAGAGGCCCGGAAGCTCAGGAGTTACATATGCTCCTACTCAAGCTAGCCGGCAACGGCATCACTCAGCTCACGACGCTGCAGAGATTGCGCAAGTCATGAGAGGCCTCCTGACGACCAGCCTCATGAGCACGGGATCCACGTGCTACCTGAACAGCACTTTGCTGGCTCAGGTATGGACCACACTTTTGACGACCTCGCTTGAGCTTGATACTTGGGGAGCATGGACGCAGCCGATTTTGAGCATGTTCACAACGCATGCAGGGGAGGCTCACAATCCATGCCACGATTCGATTTTAGGTAGAATGCTTGCAGATTGGTTCACCTCCCATGCCTCCACTGCGCAACATGACGCAGGTGAGTTTGCAAGCTGGATGAGAGCTCAGATGTTTGAAAAAGAAGTTGATGCCTGGAGGCTTTCTCACGACACATGCATGGGATTCACGTTTGTTCACCACCATAGAAGACAGCGGTTTTCTTATTGTGTCATTGTGCTTCGAGACTTGCCTGAGGTTCCCACGCCTTTGCAAGAAGCCATCCAGCAGTGGCATCACCAAGGACCATTTTTGAACGGTCTGAGAACAGCCAGCTCCTGGGTTTGCTTGCAACTGGAACGCCATCCGAGGTTGCACCATAGACATTGTCAGGCCATCACCTGGGAAAGGAACAGCATCCACCTGCCTGTTTTCGATGGATACAACCACTGCTCCGTGACTTGGACTGAGTTCCAGATTGTGGCCGGTGTCATCCACATCGGCAGCACTCCTGTTGATGGCCACTACCAGGCCGTTTTGTTCAACTCTGGAGCCGGCCTGCTGTGTGACGACAATAGCCGGCCAATTCGCCTCACTCGTGACTTGTTCTTCTACCAGAACATCTACTTGCTTTGGGTAGCGCCCATGACCGAGCTTCGTACTGAGTTTCGCCGACCAATTCCGTGGCCTTCAACGGCCACACTCGGTACGCTGATTTCAGAGCACCTCGCATGATGCTAGCATCCTGGTGGGCCCATGATCCTCCTGCAGGAACCACACGTAGTTGTGCGGCCCAACACGGGCGGACTGCACATGTCCGCTGGCAGCTGAATGAATGTATTTGTTGATATAACATATGTAATTCATATTAATTTAATACTATTATATATGTATATGCACACGCGTTTCCATCGGTGGGACAATTTGTCCTTGAATCGTGCGGTCGTTGAAAAATTTTATCTATTTGTTTAATGGTTGTTTATTTAAAATATGGATTGGTATAAATATATAATTGATATTAATAAAATATTTAATAAATATAATATTTGATATAAAATGAATTTGGTTGAATATATTATTTTATTAAATAGATAAAAATATTATTATCGATTAATATATAATATAATGATTGGAATGAATTTAATTTTTTATAGATAATATTAATTAGGAAATGAAATATTTTTTTACTATATACATAATGATATATAATTGTTTTTGATATATATTTATGTATTAAACCATTAATACTATTTAATATAAATATTATTGATTTAAAGAAAAAATATATATTAATATTATTCGATATTGTTTAATAATTTTGAAAAAATAATATATATATTATATTTCTATTTTAAAAAATATATAAATGAAATATATGTATATAATTAAAATAAGAGAGGGAAGCGTTGTGAACGACGTGTTTTTCGATGAAAATGATTTTTTTGTTTATTGTTTTTGAGAATGTTTGATATATTTGATATTATTGGGAAGGATTTGTTTGTTAGTATTTATTATTTTTTAAGGATTTAGGAATTATTATTTGTAGTATTTATTTGTTTTTATATGTTATTTATATTTTTATTTTTATATTTGTATTATATTTTTATTGATTGATTTTTTACCTTTGAAAGAATTATATTTTGCTTTAATTCTATTTTTCTTAAAAGGCAATTTAAAAATTCTAATGTTTTTTGGAAAATTGGAATTTTGTATTTTTATGATGCTTTGGGGATATGTATATTTATTTTATGTATTTAATTTGCTTGGAAATGAAATTTTCAAAGCCTTTCATTGTGACGCAAATATATACAGGTGCATGAATTATTGAAATTGCATAATTTGATTCGAAAAAAAAACGGGAATATGTATTAAATAAGGAATATTCCTAGAGGCTTAGAAATCGTTTGGCCATCGCTTGATATTTTGGTATTTAAAATGGGTATGTTACCTCGTCGCGCTAGCAAAACGCAGGGTTGCGCTAGGATTAAATACTTAGGTAACTTAGAAAAGATTAACAAATAAGAGTTGATTGTAACGGTCATTCATTGGTGCACATACGCCCACACAGGCACAAGAGCAGCAACTGTTTGAAAGATGAGAAAGTGAATTCTTGATCCCAGACGTTTGGTGGCCTCATGCATTGGTAGGGAAGCGTATTAAATCCGCGCTAGACCCCTTTGCAAACTTGACCACTTGTCTAAGTGTTTTCCAGGGTGTGTAGTCTTGGCAATTTGTTTCTGTGTGCAAGAGGATGGCTACTTTCAGCTTCACATTTGGAACCATTGGACTCTGTAAATAAGAACGCAGTTGTTAAAAGGGCATACCCAACATACAACCATATATATATGAGCGCATGTTGGATACATGATGACCACCGTTTGGAATTGCTGTGATTTTAACCTAGGATAATGATTTTAGAACGATTTGTTTAATTCATTTGTTGATAGGTGCAAGATACATTTTTTTGTGTTCACACAGGTTCAGTAGAGATGATTTAATTGAATACATAACTTTTTGGATGCCGGTCTTTTAAATGATTTTTATGTATTAATATATGTCTTGACAAGGTAAAGACATCTGATTTTAGAGTCAAGTCATGTTTGAATTTTACATGTCAAGGAATCAAGGGTGTTAATTCTATAAGATTTTGTGCTTGCGGAATCTTGCGGACAATTGCCGTGTCTTTCTAAGCTCACATGCCTGATGTTGGTCATGTGTTTGTTCAAGGTGATTTTGGCCAATGATCATGTTGAAATATTATAGAATTGTGGTAGCTTTCATGCAGAAATAGGTTCCTACAAGTCCTATGTCCTGCGTAGTCAGATTTTGCAACCCAAAGCCTACTATTCTATCGAGGCCCTACTACCCAATAATTGAAAAAAATCGAAAATACATTGCGCCCTATGATTTTATAGTGTTTGTATTTGCTATGTCTACTAATTGTCTACCAATTTTCCATGTCCCCAACCCAATTCTATAGAGCTGGCCATGATTTTCAATCTCATTCCCCTCAATTCTATAGAGCTCAAAATGCAACCTCCCATTTTGGATGTCATATGCAGCGTTATAATTTTAAAATCGGTGCACATAGCCCCCACTTAATTCCAAGGGTATTCAAAAATTACTTATTAAGTGAGTAACCGGGCATCTGCGTGATGGTGGATCGGAGGCGCAATTGTGGAGTTGGCTGTAGAGGTCAAGAATTTCAATGCTAAATTTTTCCGGGTCTCGCAGAGTGTTCTTATTTTGTTTGGTGAGTATAGTGTGAATGAATTTGTCAGTTGGCAAGGTTTTGTAAATTTACCGGATTTTTGGAAAATTTCGATTTTTGGAAATTGCCTTTGGGGGAAGGGGGGCTTAAGCAGAATAGGATTCTTTCAGTGGCACAAAAATCAATAAAAACACAAAACAGCTATAGAAACAAAATAAAAACAAAATGAAACAATGCAAACACGCGCCGCTCAGAGCGCTCCTTTCTAGAGAATAAATAATGATTTTAATGATACTACAATGAATGATATCGAAACAAATGAAATTTGTAGAACCATGATTTTATATCGACGATTTATTTAGATTTTGGCTTTAAGCGCAATTTTGCTTAGTGCGGATGGCATAAAGAATAGATCGAAAGGCATGGCACGCCTTTAGATTCCGCCCTGGGATGCTCTTGGAGGGAGCAATAACGAACAATGATGGAAAAGTCGGGGGCCTAGGGCACGATGTTGATGGAGATCATCGCCGAATTCAATAGGGATAATAAAGGCTCGTGGGCGGTCCATAGCCGCAAATGACCCGTATATGCGGTGGTGGATGAAAAAGGATATTGGAAGAACCCTAGCGAATAAATATACCTATCATATCTGGGAGGATGCAAATAGATTAGATTGCACGGGTTCATCTATACCCATCGAGCGAGTTCGGCATCTGATACGGACAATAAGGTTCCGGGTTGGGCCTGTGAGAAAGGAACAATCTGTGAGATTATGACCTACCCCAAGGATTGGGAGGTTATGGTTTATCCTAAGGATACGAAAATGGAGTCTGGCAAAATTGAGGTCATTGGTGCCTTGTCCGGATTGACATAGGAATATAAAGCGAGGAAGAATGGAACGATTCAAAGGAAAATAATTCGAATGAGAAAGGGCTCTAGCCAAAGTTCCATTTTGCCCGAAAGGCAAGATAAACGTCAGCGTATCGTATCTCAGATTCAAGTAATTTGCATCTGATGAAGAGAATGAAGAAGTGTTGTTTGGCGAATTCGTTGCGATTGCTACGGCTGCAAAGGCGAGAAAAGGCCAGAAAGATCAGAATCTTTTGGATGAGGGGACATTGTACGATTCCAAGGTGAATCGAGCAGCAACGCCAAAAGGCGTCGAACTAGTTATCGTTGATTAATTTTTTTAGAAGATGTCGGGGCGATTAGCATCAAAATTGCTGCTTAACATTATTTCCACGATAATCGTGCCACGGCTGGGATAACGGCTTATGTTTCGAACTCATAGGGAATTGAGGACCCTGTGGATAGCCACGACGGACATGGAGCCGCCGCTCAGTACTTGGAGGTGTTAGGACCCGACGCGAGATTTCCTTGAATCGCGATTATTTCCTGAATTTGAAATTGAAGGGGGCAGAATTCGACGGCAAAGAGACGGGCGCGAAGGGGTAGAGCAGAGGACGGAATAGAGGACGAATCTGAACCGGTGGGCTCTTCAAAGGGCGTTGGAAGTGCTTTGTGTTGACGACGAAGAAGACGTTCATTGATGTGTTATCTGGGTTATAAGAGTTTATGAAGTCAAAATAGACGTTTTATTGGCGTAAAATTATTTGGAGAAAGGGATGTTTCCCGAGAAATGTCCCTTTAAGATTGTGCGGGGCGATGGCTTGCTTCCGACCAATCCGGTGGCGACGGTATTTTATTTGCAGGCCAAGGATCCAAAATTCGCCCGAACAATTGTATGCATGGTCAATACCTTTAACGACCTAGCCAAGGCACAATGTCAAGGTAGTTGGGCGGAATTATAGTCTTTCAAAGCAATTGACGACGGAACATTTTTGAAGAACACTATGCTATATGGAAGGAATAGGAATTTTGCATGAGGGCTTTGAAGAGGCCGCTTAGAAATTGGCTGCCGCCTGATTTGATTACCAAGGGGATTCGGTGATGTTATGGAGGATATTGTAGCCGAGAAGGTCATTGCGGTTTGGCTATAAGGGGATCAAATTGATATGCAAGATGGTATGGATTTCTGGCCAGAATGGCGTAAGTTGCAAAATCTCGATTCATGCCTCAAACCAATGTAGGATTGATTTTAAAGCCCGCACACCGAAGGTCAGGGCCTCCGATGAAGAAAATTGTGTGAGAGAGGGGTTTCATGGTAGCAATGGAGGAAATCTATGGAAATCTTGAAGAATCATTTAAAATCACCCGATCCTTAATGAGGTTGGTGCAATAAAGAAGAAAAAGAAGGTTACAATCATGGTAAAATCCATCATATGTAATGCTTTATTGGCAACCTTATTCTCGCAAATATAAAGATGTTGCCCTACCTGGGCCAGTCGACCTTGCTGGAGCAAAAGAAAGAAGAAATATAATTGATTGATTCATTCGGAGGATTTCACAGGTTGCCTGAGTGTTGGAAAAGATACATAGCCTTTGGAAAGACCGTGGGCCCCTCTTGTTAGTCATGACCTTCCTTATTGAGGATGGGGCTCTGTTAAGAGCAATGCGTGGCCCTATTGAGGGCGGGACGTGTTCTTATTAGCGTGAGG